CTATGATAAGAAGAAAATTCATAGCACTAAGTGCTCACATGCATAAACTGGAGAATAGTCACAGTAGAGACAAAATTGGAGAATCAGGAAAGAAAATTGAATCTTTTACAAAAGTTATATAGGGCCCAATGGAAGCATTCATAGATATCTTACAAAGACTGTAATTAGCAGCCAACAGAATGGAATAAGATGTAGAAACTAGAAAATTAATTGAAACAAGGGCTTTTTAAAATGCTAAGGCTCAATGCAAAAGAATCTTGTGCCTTTAAAGGCAAAATCAGCACCTTTAGAGGAGGGATCTAAGAAACAAATAATATTGTATCTCACAGCTATGATGAAGACACATGGATAGGAAAGATGATTTTAAAAGGTGAGAGGAAAAATGAAAATGTGAATTTTTAAAATTTAAATTAGAAATAATCTTATTTTATATATTAATTCCAGTTTATCCTTCCTCTCATTGTCTCATGGCTCCTATCCACCTCCATCCCATTCTACTTCTGCACCATAGGAAAGGTCTTATATGGCAGATCGTCAAAGTCTGTCACATCATTTGGGGCAGGGCCTAGGCACTCTCCAATGTGTCTAGGCTGAAGAGTATCATCCTATGGGGAGTGGGCTCCCAATGTCTATTCATATACTAGGTACAAATGTTGTTCCATTACCAGTGGCCCCATAGACTGCCCAGGCCTTCTAACTGTTACCCATGTGCAGGGAGCGTGGTTCCATACTATGCTGTTTTCCGAGCTGTTAGTCCGGTGTCCATGAGCTTCCTTGTTCAGGTCAGCTATTTATGTGGGTTTTCCCTTTGCTCATCACACCTCTCCCTCTACAACTAGATTCCAGGAATTCAGCTCAATACTTAGCTCTGGGTCTCTGCTTCTGCTTCCATCAGCTACTGGATGAAGGCTCTATGATGGTATATAGGTTAGCCATCAATCTCATTATAGGAGAAGGGAATTTAATTTTGGCAGACAAGTCACCTGAAATGGAGTGGTAAATAAGGCATCTCTAGAAAAAAATCTTTTTATAAATGTAATCCTAACAGAATACCCCTCCCTTCTGGGTTATGCAAAGGATGTGGCAAAGGCAGGCAAAGGAATGTGGGTTAAATGAGATTATTTAGGTAATCCTTTACTTTTGGAAATTGACTTGAGGGATCTATCAAAAGTCGCTATGATAAAATTGGTTCATTTATTTTCTGTCACTGTGGATGAAACTCCTTCACAGAACAATGAAATAACCCAATATCTATGGAAAAAACACATATTTTCTGGATGAAAATAGAGCTTTAAAAGATTAAAAAAAAAATCAGGGGAAACCTTAGACCCAAACAGATAAGGATTAGATTAGGAACTTCCCTAAAGTTAAGGTTGGGAAAAGGTTTTGTTTTTGTCTTTTCAAGAAAATAAAAACAAACATTTTAAGAAATTTACCTTTGGACAAATTAAAATCCAAAGAAGAAGAGATAACTACCTGGAAAATTTATCAAGAAATAATCTGACCTATTGTGATCTAAAGTCTCCAAAATGAAGATTGAATCTAAACTGGGTGGAGGTCTCACATTGCCTTTAATACCATCATTTGGGAGGCAGACTCAGGCAGATCTCAGTGATTTCAGGCAGCATGATCCACAAAGCAAGTTTCAAGATAGCTAGAACTATTAACACAGAGAAACTTTATAGAAACAGAGAAGGATAGAAGAGGAGGGTGGAGTAGAACATGAGGGATCAGGTAGACTGAGTCAAGGAAAAAATAGAGAACAAGAAAAGAGATATCTTAATAGAGGGAGCCATCATAGGTTTAAAGAGAATTCGAGCACTAGGAAAATGTTCAGAGAGTCACAAGGATGACCCCCACTGAGAATTTAAGTAATAATAGAGAGGCTACCTTAAATGTCCTTCCCCTATAATGAGACTGGAGACTACCTTAAATGCCACCCTAGAGTCTTCACCCAGTAGCTGATAAAAGCAAAAACAGACACTCACAGCCAAGCACTGAGCTATACTCCTAGAATATAGTTGTAGAGAGGGAGGAGGGATGAGCACATGGGTCAAGACCATGCTGGAGAAACCTATAGAAACACGAACACACGAACCCTAGTCGTAAAGCTGGTAAAAAGCGTTGGACCGAACCAAGCCCACTGAATGTGGGTACCAGTTAGGGGGCATGCACAGTCTATGACACCTCTGACAATGGAACCAGTATTTATCCCTAGAGAACAAATGGACTTTGGGAGCCTATTTCCCATGGAAGGATACTCTCTCAGCTGAGATACACAGAGGTGGTCCTTGGCCCTGTCCCAAATGATGTGACAGACTTTGATGATCCCACATGGAAGGACTTACCATTCCTGGGAAATGGAAGTGTTTGTAATGGGGGGGTCAGTGCAAGTGGGAGGCATGGGAGGATGGGAGGGAGGGGTAAGTGGGATTGATATATAAATTAATATTGTTTCTAAATTAAATAAATGAATTTAAACAATTAAAAATAAAAAATAGAAAAACAAAACAAACAAAAGAAATTGGAACCCTAAAGCTATTTTATTAGGATTATAACACCATTAAATTTAACAATAACAACTAAAGATCAGTTTGGACTACAAACTGCTCAGAACATTTTTGAGGACGTCAACTGAGATGATCTAGCATCACAGTTAGTGCTCAGAATAATTCTGAGGAGGCTGGGATAATGCAGCCTTACAAACTACAACTGCCAGGATTTAAGACAAGCCATGTACTTATCCCATTATACAGAGAAATATGGTAATTAGACAGTAAACCTAAAGTTTTCTTTTCAGGATCCCCTAAAGATACAGTCACCCCCAGACAGTGGGAAGTAACTTTAAGAAAATTACTGCCACATTTCTAAGAGGTAGGATGGTTTTTTTCTTTTCTTCTTTATTTTTGTTTTTCATTATTCAAGGGGCTATGGATATTTGTCATTATTTAAGGAGATTATTTACAAAAAGTTATTGGTTATGCTCAGGAAGAAAACTGAACAAATGGGATTAGATTGAAGGTATTTGATAAAAAAAAAAAAAAAAAGGCTACAGACATGATAAGATAAAATGGTGGATTTTTAAATCTAGTCTTAAAAAAAAACCGAGGATATAGTTATATTGAGATAAAAAGGTAGATTATTAAATCTACTTTTACAAAGCAGGTAGGAGTTTTAAGCATTTGTTTTGTTTTGTTTTGAGACAGTGTTTCTCCGTGTAGCTTTCGAGCCTATCCTGGTACTTGCTTTGTAAACAAGGCTGGCCTCCTACTCATAGAGCTCTGCCTGCCTCTGCCTCTGGTGTGCTGGGAATAAAGGCATGTGCCACCATTGCCTGTGCTTGCTGCTTAAATCTTTCTGGGCTTGTATGTACCTTGCTTATTTGATTATGAAGACATTTTTCTCCTGATATGCTCCAAACCCTCTGGCTCTTAGAATCTTTCTACCTGTGGTGGTGTGATATCCATTGAGCTCTGAGGGGAAGAACTTAATGTAAATCTCTCACTTATACTTTCGCTGCATAAAATTTTCACAGGGTCTTGCATCTTTTCCCATCTGCTTCTGGAGGAAGCCTATCTGATGATGACTGAATCAGACACTGATTTTTGAGGATAGATAATCTGTAGGAACCATTTTATTGGTTTTCTTTTTAGACCAATAGTATTTTGTTCTATTCCTCATCTCTGGGCTAACTAACTTCAGTTTCTTAGTCATTCATGGGTTAGGTTCTATCCTATATAGAGGGTGTTAGTCAAATCAGACACTAGTTTGCTATTTCCACACGTTGCCAGCCACCATTGTCCTAGCATTTTTTGTAGGCAGAACACATTGAAGGTCTCCTTATTGTAGGAATGAATGGGTCCCCAACTCTTATACCTGTTGTTGGGATTCTCTTCCTCCTCTGGTTGGGTTGCGTTGTCCAAATTAAATATGGTAATTTTTCTTTACCTTAATATACTGTGGTTTTTTTTTTATTTGATTGCTATTGCTTAGAAACCTGCCTTTTCTTTTTTCTATTGAGAGATATGAGGGGAATGGTTCTGGAAGGGAGGGTACATGGAGAGAAGATAACAGGAGGAACACAGTGAAGGGAAATTATAATCAGGCTATATTGTATGAAAATAGACTCTATTTTAAATGAAAGAAAAAACAGCCATGAAAATCTATTTAAAAATTTATGCATCCCAATGTAGGTTCTACATTATCCCATAAAAATACTATAAGTAAAAATCACAGTCAGTTTTCTCATCATTTCTGAATTTCATTTGTATTTATTGTAGAGAGTAGGGCAAGATGACTCTTTTTTTAATGCTCAGGTTGATAGAGAAGAATGATTTTGAAACCTAAGAGAAATTCAAGATTATAGAGCAATGTGTTTGTTAGTGTGTGTGTGTGTGTGTGTGTGTGTGTGTGCGTGCGTATGTGAATCTGTGTTCATGTGCATGGGTGTATGTAATAGAATAACATCACTTGTCCCTCTCCTTTTTATTCGTCCAGTCCTGTCATTCTTTTCAAGGCCCAATTTTAACATTTAGAGCCTCTTAATTTTTTATTATTTTTGGTGTATATGAATGTACCTATGTCTTGTAAATACAAAACACTTGGTCCAATGATGAATTGATTTTATGTAAAGTCTTCTTTATCTCATATCAAATTAAAGGGAAATATCTCTCTATCTCTCTCTCTCTCTCTTTCTCTCTCACACACGCACACACACACACACACACACACACACATATATATATATATATGTTCATATTCACTCCCACTGTAATGATTTAGTACAGAACAAAACCTTACATATGATTTATCATAAAAAAAGTTGCATTAGATGTTAATACATAAAACCCAGACTAATGCAAAGCTATTACCCAATTCAAGCACAAGCATAGGTATAAACATGGAAACCAGAATTGCAGATATTTTGATTTAAAATTTGAGGATAAATGTGTCAGTTTACTCTTTGGGAAAGTATGTTAAAACAAAGATGATAGGAAATTTTAATGAGCATTTTCAATTTTCAAATGCATATTCCTGAAATTTTGAAAAGAATTTCTCTCAGGTCTTAACAAAATAATGAAACACTTTGGAACAAAGATGCAAAGAAGCAACCCTGCACTGGATGTCAAGATACAGAAAACCTCCACAGCCACCATTGCCTTGCCCTTGGTGCTATGATAGACAGGGAGGAAGGTAATCCAGACACAACAGAAGACCAGCATGCTGAAGGTCAGGTACTTGGCTTCATTGAATGTGTCAGGCAGATTCCTGGCCAAGAAAGCTACAATGAAACTTCCCAGGGCAATGGATCCCAAGTATCCAAGAACAAAATAAAAGGCAATAATTGAGCCTTTGTTACAGATAATCAAAATGTGGTCTTTTTCAACATGTATGTCAACATCAACAAATGGAGGAGAAGTTCCTAGCCAGATCCCACATAGAATCAGTTGAATCATGGTGCAAATTGGAATGATGAAGTTAGGTGCCCCTGATACCAGCAGCCTCCTTATCGTTCTACCTGGAGTAGTAACCTTGAAGGCCAATACTACTGTAATTGTCTTGGCCAAGACAGTAGAAGCAGCCACAGTGAATACTACTGCAAACACGGTCTGCTGCATGAGACATGTGATCATGTTGGGTTGGCCAATGAAGAGCAAGGAACAGAGAAAGCAACAGTTAAGGGAGATAAGAAGAACATAGCTGAGAGCCCGGTTATTGGCCTTGACTGTGGGAGTGTCATTGTGCTTCAAAAAGACACCAAATACTCCAGCGGTGAGTATAGAAAAGCATATAGCCAAGGAGGCTAGAGACATTCCCAAGAGGTCTTCATAACCCAGGAATGTCACAACTTTTTTGAGACAGTGATTTCCTCCACGGTTAGCATAATGATCATCAGGACATTTTACACACTGATCCATGTCTGAAACAGGAAGAAATGTATGATCATGTTTAATATTTCTTGACATTTCACAGAAAATGTTACAATAATGCATTAAAAATTTCTTGTCACATTAGCCTTATTTTATGCATTTATGGATTAATAGCAACATCATTCAAAATCTTTTTTCTTTATGCACAATTTTTAAAGTCTATTGTTTATATTTACCATTCCTATCGAAGTCATTTTTATTTACTTTCCAAATTTAATTAGCAGATGATAGAATATTCATGTTATACAATAAAGCAACTGAGTAAGGGCAATATGGAAAGACATATTTATTATTACCAATCCTACAGACGATTCAAAATGAGATCATGGAACCACATTCTCCCACATGTGATTTGTTCTATCAGCTACAATGCAAGTACCAAATACCAATTTTCTTTTGAAAGTTATTGTGAACTGAAATACAGCCAATACCATAGATATAGCTTAAAAGGTAGCATAAATAGTGCCAGGGAAAAGAGAAGCTTCATCAAGTATTTAAATCGTAGAGTCTGTAGATGCTAAATATTACATTTACTCTTAAGTTTCTTATGATTTTTGGCAAGTAACAGGACCTATCAGTTTACTAATTTATGTAAGATTTGACTGTCACTATTCTCAATAGAGAAATATTTATTAAGAAACAACATGAGTCTCCCTGGGTTGGCCCCTGATCCCGCTGCTCCTGTGTCCTGTCCCCATCGAGAGCACCTTTGGAGCTCTGATACAACCCTACCCCCCACCACGAGCCTGCCCCTCTTACCCTGTGTCCTACCTTGCCCACTGTCCTGCCACTCTGGTTGAGCATTGGGACAGAGGGTGGAGCCAACAGTCCATCTTACTTTGGAGACTTCTTGGAGCAACTCTGAATAAATGAGACCTGCCTATCCACGTGGCACCACCCGTAATTTCCACCTGCTTGGTCTCTGACCCCACCTCCAGACCTCTGCTGTAGGCCCAGGCCCAACCCAGAGATCCTCCTCTCTCTGCGGGTCCACTCTGAGTTCCCACAAGCAAGATCCTTGACCGCCAAAGCAGGGCCTCTGCTAAAGAAAGAGGACTCAGCTGGAGAGTACCAGTTTCCTGTGAGATCCGACTATCCTGTAAAAACTTCCCAAGTTTCATCTCAGCCTTTGTCCTCTTCCACCAGCCATTGGCTAGAGCCATTGGCTAGAGGCATAGTCCTTAGGATCCTCAGCCCTGACCCCATCCCTGGGTCCCTGTCTGCAGAGAGACCTCCTATAGAGCTTGGACCACACAGAGCTACAGATATTGAATCTCAGACCCACATAAGACCACTGTGGAAGAACCATACAGATAGGGGGAGACCCCACCAACACCTACTGGAAGAAGCTATGGGAAGAAGGCAATACAAGAAAACACCTAACAACAGAAAGACAACCATGACACCACCAGAATATAGGGAATCTACATCAACTAGAAAAGAACACAACAACAAAGCAGAGGAAGCAGAAGGGAATGACTTAAAAATTACCATCATAAAAATTATAGAGGCCCTCAAAGAAGATGTGAGAAAATCTCTTAAAGAAATGGAGGAAAAAACAAACAAAAAAGTGGAAGAAATGAACAAATTCCTTAAGGAAGGTAAAGCAAGTACAGAAAGCCAAGGAAAAACAATTAAGCAGGTGAAGGGAATGGTTCAAGACTTGAAAACTGAAATGGAGAAAATAAAGGCTACACAAACTGAAGGAATGCTGGAAATAGAAAAACTGGGCAAAACATCAGGAACTACAGATGCAAGCATATCCAACAGAACTCAAGAGATGGAAGAGAGAATCTCATGCACAGAAGATAAACTAGAAGAAATAGATTCATCGACCAAAGAAAATCATAAATCCAACAAATCCTTAACACAAAACATCCAGGAAATGTGGGACACCGTGAAGAGGGCAAACCTAAAAATAATAGGCATAGAGGAAGGTGAGGAAGCCCAGCTCAAAGGTGCTGACAACATATTCAACAAAATCACCGAGGAAAACTATCCCAATGTGAAGAAGGACATGCCCATGAAGAACAAAAAGTATGTACAAATAGGCTAGACCAAAGAAAAAAGACCCACCGGCATATAATAATCAAAATACTTACCATACAGAATAAAGAAAGAATATTAAGAGCAGCAAAGAAAAAAGGACAGGTTAAATATAAAGGTAGACCTATCAAAATTACACCTGACTTCTCCATGGAAACCCTCAAGGCCAGAAGGTCCTGAATAGATGTTCTAAAAGTATTAAGAGAACACGGATGCCAGCCTAGTCTACTATATCCAGCAACAATCTGAATCAATATAGATGGAGAAAACAAGATATTTAATGACAAAACCAGATTTCCCCAATATGTATCTACAAATCCAGCCCTACAGAAAGTATTGGAAGAAAAACCCCAACCCAAGGCAGGTAACTTCACCCACAAAAATATAGGCAACAGATAATCGAACTACACCAGAAACCAAGGGTAAATCAGAACAAATATATCGACAATACCACTGCCAACAACAAACTTAAACAAACAAGCATCAACAACCAATGGTCCTTACTCACCCTCAACATTAATGGTCTTAACTCACCTATAAAAAAGACACAGGCTAACAGAATGGATATGAACACAGAATCCATCCTTCTGCTGTATATAAGAAACACATGTAGCTTCAAAGATAGACATTACCTCAGGGTAAAGGGTTGGGAAAAGATTTTCCAATGAAATGGAACCAAGAAACAAGCAGGCAGGCTATCCTAACATCTAACAAGTTAGACTTCAAACCAAAATTAATCAAAAGAGATGAAGACAGTCATTTCGTATTCTTCGCAGGAGAAATCCATCAACACAAAGTCTCAGTTCTGAACATCTATGCCCCTAATACAAAGGCACCCACATTCGTAAAAGAAATGCTACTAAAACTCAAACCTCATATAAAACCTCACACACTTATAGTGGGAGACTTCAATACACCATTCTCAACACTAGACAGTACCACAAATCAGAAACTCAGCAAAGAAACAAAAGAACTAACAAGTTATGTCTCAACTGGGGTTAACAGACATCTATAGAACATTCCATCCAAAGACAAAAGAATATAACTTCTTCTCTGCTCAACATGGAACCTTCTCTAAAATCAACCACATAATAGGTGGGATAACAAAACTCAACATATACAAGAGAATAGGAATAGTCCCCTATATCTTATCAGATCATCATGCTTTAAAATTGGAATTCAACAACAACACAAATACCAGAAAATCTGCAAAATCATGGAAACCAACCGACATGCAATTCAACCATACCTGGGTCAAAGAAGAAATAAAGAAAGAAATTAAGGACTTTCTAATATTCAACGAGAATTAGGACACAACATACCCGAACTTATGGGACACCTTGAAAGCAGTGCTACAAGGGAAGTTCATTGCACTAAGTGCCCATATGAAGAAAACAGAGGATAGTCACATAGAGAATGAACAGCACAACTGAAAGCCTTAGAAGAGAGAGAAGCAAACTCACCCTGTAGGAGTAGAGGACAGGAAATAATCAACTTGAGGGCTGAAATCAACAAAATAGAAACCACAAAAACAATACAAAAAAAAAAAAAATCAGTGCAACGAAGAGTTGGTTTTTTGAGAAAGTCAACAAGATAGACAAACCTTTATCCAAACTATTGAAAAAGCAGAGAGAGAACATGCAAATTAACAATATCAGAAACGATAAGGGGAACATAACAACGTTCACAGAGGAAATCCAGACAATTTTCAGGTCATACTTTGAAAATCTGTTTTCCACAAAAATTGAAAATTCAAAGGAAATGGACAAATTTCTGGATAACTTACACTTACAAAAATTAAATCAAGAACAGACAAACAACTTAAGAAGACCTATAACCCACAATGAAATAGAAGCAGTCATCGACGGCCTTCCACCAAAAATAGTCCAGATGGATTCAAAGCAGAATTCTACCAGACATTCAAGGAAGAACTAATACCACTACTCCTCAAAATGTTCCACCAAATAGAAACAGAAGGTTCATTGCCTAACTCTTTTTATGAGACCACAATAACCTTGGTACCCAAGCCTCACAAAGACACAACTAAGAAAAAAAACTACACACCAATATCCCTGATGAACGTGGATGCAAAAATAAAATACTGGCAAACTGAATTCAAGAACACATCAGAGAAATCATCCACCATGACCAAGTAGGCTTCATCTCTGGAATGCAGGGATGGTTTAACATACAAAAATCTATCAACGTGATCCACCATATAAACAAACTGAAAAAGAAAAACCACTTGATTATCGCCCTAGATCCTGAAGAATCTTTCGACAAAATTCAACACCCTTTCATGATATAGGTCTTGGAGAGATCAGGGATAACAGGAACATACCTAAACATAATAAGAGCAATATACGGCAAAACAACTGCTAACCTCAAACTTAATGGAGAGAAACTTAAGCCAATTCCTCTAAAATCAGGAACAAGACAAGATTGCCCTCTATCTCCATATCTCTTCAATATCATACCAGAAGTTCTAGCTAATGCTATAAGACAACAAAAGGAGATCAAAGGGATCCAAATTGGATGGAAGAAGTCAAATTGTCTCTATTTGCAGATGATATGACAGTTTACATAAGTGACCCACTATACTCTATGAGGGAACTCCTACAGCTGATAAACACCTTCAGCAAACTAACAGGATACAAGATAAACTCAAAAAAAAAAAAAAATCAGTAGCCCTACTGTTTTCAGACAACAAAGAGACAGAGAAAGAAATCAGAGAAACATCACCCTTTACAATAGCCAAAAAACAACATAAATTATCTTCGTGTAATGCTTACACTAAGTAAACATAGAGCAAACAAGTAAAAGACCTATATAATAAGAACTTTGTGGCTCATAGAAAGAAATTACAGAAGATACCAGAAAATGGAAAGATCTCCCATACTCTTGGATAGGCAGGATAAGCATAGTAAAAATGGCAATCTTACCA